CCCTCCCTCGCGCACACACACAGTGACGGCGTCTCGCCCTCCCTCCCTCGCGCACACACACAGTGACGGCGTCTCGCCCTCCCTCCCTCGCACACAGTGACTTTTCACTGTATACATTAATGATCTAGATGAAGGAACTGAGGGCATTCTGGCTAAGTTTGCAGACAATACAAAGATATGTGGAGGCACAGGTAGTATTGAGGATTTGGGGAGGCTGCAGAAGGATTTGGACAGGTTAGGAGAGTGGACAAAGAAGTGACGGATGGAGTACAACGTGGGAAAGTGTGAGGTCATGCACAAAGTGGGAGGCAATGGCCTAGTGGTATTATCATTGGACTGTTAATCCAGAGACTCAGAAAAATGCTCTGGGGACCCAGGGTCGAATCCCGCCGTGGCAGATGGTGGAATTTGAATTCAATAAATGTCTGGAATTTAATCTGGAGTCCAATGATGACTGTGAATCCATTGTCGATTGTTGGAAAAACCCATCTGGTTCACTAATGTCCTTTAGGGAAAGAAACTACCATCTTTAACTGGTCTGGCCTCTACGTGACTCCAGACCCACGCAACATGGTCGACTCTTAACTGCCCTCTGGTCAATTAGGGCTGGGCAATAAATGTTGCCTCGCCAGCAACACGCTCATCCCGTGAATGAATAAAGAAAGAAAAAAAAACTTTGGTAAGAAGAATAGAAACATGGACTATTTTCTAAATGGGGAGAAAATTCAGAAGTCTGAAGTGCAGAGAGACTTGGGAGTTCTAGTCCAGAATTCTGTCAAGGTAAACTTGCAGGTTGAGTCAGTAGTTAGGAAGGCAAATGCAACTTTGGCATTTATTTTGAGAGGACTTGAATATAAAAACAGGGATGTACTTCGGAGGGTCCAAGGCTCTGGTCAGGCCACATTTGGAGTATTGTGCACAGTTTTGGGCCCCATGTCTCAGTAACGATGTTCTGGCCCTGGAGCAGGTTCATGAGAGTGGTGCCCAGGAATGAAAAGCTTAACGTATGAGGAACATTTGAGGAGTCTGGGTCTATATTTGATGGAGTTTAGAGGGATGAGGGGGGGATCTAATTGAAACTTCCAGATTACTGAAAGGTCTGGATAGAGTGGACATTGGGCAGGTGTTTCCATCAGCAGGAAAGACCAGGATGAGAGGGCATAGCCTTAGAGTAAAGGGAATACCCTTTAGAACAGAGATGAGGAAAAACTTTTTCAGCCAGACAGTGGTGAATCTATGGAATTCACTGCCACAGAACGGTGAGGAGGCCAGGTCATTGAGTATATTTAATATGCAGATAGATAGGTTCTTAATTGTCAAAGGGATCAAGCGTTACGGGGAGAAAGCGGGAGAATGGAGTTGAGAAACATATCAGCCATGATTGAATGGCAGAGCAGACTCAATGGGCTGAATTGCCTAATTTCTGCTCCTATGTCTTATGGTCTTATAGTCTATCTCGCCACCAATCCACCTACCCTGCACACCTTTGGAGGAAACCAGAGCACACACTGGGCAGGGGGGAATCTGGGGTGGCACATGCAGGGTGGAGACCTGGGAGTGAGGTGGAGGCCATGGGCAGGGATTAATGCTGATGCAGGGTCTGAAAATGCCGGGGTGTGGGGTGGAATGCTAGGGGTTTGGGGGAAATGCCAGGTGGATGGGGGATGCAGTTAGGGTTCTTCTTGTGTGCCGTGACTGAAACATTTCCAAGCCATGCACACTCACCTGATGACTCCATCCATTGAGGCTGTGCACAGAATGGTGTCACTGATGGGAACAATACAGTCAATAGATTCTCCTGGCACCAAGAATCGATCACTGGTGGCTCCAAACCCATCCCAGTTGAAGAGGTAGATCATTCCCTCAGTTGAGCTGCAGACCACCTTACTGCCTCGCTAATCACAAAGAGAAAGAGGGTCAGCAGTGAAAAAACATCTGAAATAACAGCTCTGAATGAGGATGAACAGGGCGCTGGCAAGGCCGGGCAGTCTGTGACCATAATAGACTGCTCATGAACTTTTCACCAGAGTCAAATAAAGATGTCTCAGTCCGTTAGAGTCCACCTGATGGGCTTTACAACATCAGTTCATCTTCAGAACCCGGTCCACGCAATGACCTCAGGGCACAGGAGCCTCTGGTTTCAGCTGCTCAACTGGCAATTCAAAGGTCAAGAGTTGAAATTCCAAATTGCCAAATGGTATTTCATAAACTTTTTAAAATTTGATAAATAAAAAGCAAAAGACTGCAAATGCTGGAAATCTGAAGCAAACACAGAAGGCTTGAGAAACTCAGCAGATCTGGCTGTATGTGTGGAACAAAAACAGAGTGTCATGGTACTGTGCCTTTAAGTAAGATGTGTTCTGTGCTATTTCTCTTGCAGAGGGGTCTGCCACAGTGGTACTGGAATGTCTGCTTCCGGCAGGCAGTTGGTAAGCAGCTTTTGAGTTCTCCCTGGGTGGTTTTTTAAACTGAGACTAAAGATTACGTGTGGGTGGCCTCAGGGCTCACACAGACGCAGGAAAGTTTTTAGTTTTGCATTCAGTTAGAAGATTTCTGCTAGCTGCTGAGCTAAAAGCTGGAGTTTCCAGCCACTGAAGTGGTCTTAAATAGTGAGGCTTCCTCTTAAAAACTAAAAGGGGCAGATTGTTTCTTTATTCTCGACTGGACACAGCATATGAGAACCGTAACTGTTTTGCTGAACTGCATTTTTGCGAAAGGGTGTGTTTATGGGATGCTGCCTATATTGGAACAATTGGGGATTAGTGGTTAAATAATACATTATCTTGTTAAGTATTTCAATAAAGTTATGCTGTTTTTGTATTTTATTGATGTTGTAGCATGAAATGTGTTTTGAATAAAGTCTTGCGGTGGACTAATCGAATCACATCTGGAACACAGCACCTTACACTTAGAATGATAGAATCCCTAAGCGTGGAAACAGGCCATTCGGCCCAACAAGTTCACACTGACTCTCCGAACAGCATCCATCCAGACTCACCCTCCTACTGTATCCCTGTAACCCTGCATTTCCCAAGGCTAAACCACCTAACCTAGGCATCCTTAGACACTATGGGCAATTTAGCATGGCCAATTCACCTAACCTGCACATATTTGGACTGTGGGAGGAAACCCACGCAGACACGGCGAGAATGTGCAAACTCCACACAGACAGTCGTCCGAGGCTGGAACTGAACCTGGGTCCCTGGTGCTGCGAGGCAGCAGTGCTAACCACTGAGCCATTGTGCCGCCCTTGCCTTTAAATAAATAAAAAAGTGCAAGAATTACTGGCATGCACTGGACATTAACTGTTCCTCTCTCCACAAATATTGCCAGACCTGTTGAGTTTCTCCAGCACTTTTTTCTGTGTTTATTGAATAAATATGTTGATCTGTGGGCAGGTACCAGGAAAAAGAGCACGATCAATATGATATAAACCCCAGTGGTCACTGATGTTCTTCCATCCCTGGTCTGAGTCACTCGAGCCCCCTAATTTTTTCTGACTCCTGTAGATTGCCATTAGATGGTGCTAGTCCTAATCCTAGAGTCCTGATCTAGGTGACCATTACTTGCCGAGGGAGAAGTGCTCTCTTCCCTCAAGTTGAGATTTCGAATACCTGCTGCCCTGTGCTGAATAAATTTCAACTTTGAAAGGACTTACCTTCATTATAGCCAATGATGTGAGGTCACCATCCTGAAATTCTGACTGCAGGTCAAAACGACGCCTCTTGATGTTAAAAACACACATTGTACCATCACCACTGCAAAGACAGAGAGGTGGAACAACATTCCAAACGAGAAATAGGGAGAGGGGTTGGGGAGGCAAAAAAAACAGGGAGACAGATGAACATGAACTACAAACAGTCCATAGCCTATCCTCCTGTTGGGTTTGCATGGTGGCTGGGAGTGAGCGAGCAGTCAGTCAGCCCCAACAACAGTTCAGAAATTTGTAAACCTCCACCCTCAACTTGGCCTAATCGGACCTTGAAGGAGAGCCAAAAGTACCAGAAGAATTACAACGCAATTCAATACAGCACAGGAACACCAAGTTTGCGCCGATTCCTAATCCTTAATTAGGCCCCCCACTTCTCGCTCATGTGTGGTTTCTACCCCTCTGTTCCCCTGCCTCCATGTATCTATCAAGATATGTCTTGCTAACATACCTGCTTCCACCACCTTCACTGGCAGTGTGTTCCAGGCACCCACCACCCTCTGTGTGAAACATTTTCCTCACACTTCTCCCCTCTCAGCTTGGAGTTGCCCGCATGGAGTTAAACTTTCAACTCTGGGAAAAGGCCTCTGACTATCCACGCTATCTATGCCTCGCATAATTTTGTAGACCTGTATCAGGTCACCCCTCAGCCTCCATCTTTCAAATGAAAACAATTTGAGTTTACTTGCAGGAAAGTCTCTGGCTCACCCTCTCTTATAGAGGATGCAAGTGGATTTGAGCGATAGTGACCTGCAAGTGTTAAATAACTGTGTCCTCCTCCCCCTTGTTCACTGCAGTGCCTTCACTCAGCAAATTATTGCAGCAAACACATATGCAACGGAAGATCCCACAGATAGCAATGTGACATGTGGAACTGGAAGACGTATTTATTTTCCTAGGTTTTGTGTGAAAGCAAGCTATAACCGTGAATGAGAATTACGGGTAGAATGGGCAATGCTAATAGTGACTGCTGGCAGTCATAATTGCTTGCAGGCAGTAAAACATCCCAAGAAATTTTCATAGCATATCAGATATAAGATGACGCTGAGTCATGAGATGTTACGGCAGGTTTTGGTTCACAAGGTAGGTTTTAAGGAACAGCACAGGGGTATACGGAGTTAATTCCAGAAAAGCTCAAGCATTTATAATGGGACCAGAAAGACAGGAGTATAGAGCTGTCAGAGGAAGGTTATAAAGTTGGGAAAGAATCTTGTGCAAACCATACAAGAAGTAGATATTTAACATTTTATGTAATACAATAAAACAAAATAAAAAGAAGAACTGCAGACGCTGGAAATCTGAAGCAAAGCAAAAATTGGAGAAACTCAGCAGGTCTGGCAGTACCTGTGGGAAGAAAGCACAGTTAATGTTTCGAGTCCAATGACCTTTCACCAGAATGTTTTATATAGATTGCCTTAGCACCTGCACAGGGAAGTATGTTCAATTTAGAGAATGGAGCAGTTGATTGATCAGAATTAGGTCTATATGGTTGCAGTCAGCAATCTGACCAATCACCATGGGTCATAAAGCCCCAGAAAGAATCTCAATCACCTAAAGTTCATAAAGTAACAATGCAACAACTTAAAGTGCGATCAGGAGACAGCTTCTTCAGGGCAATTCAGGACTGGTAATAAATGCTGGTCTTGCAAGCAAATCTCACATCCCACTGAAAAGTTAAACTACGGCCTCACTACTGCTTAGAATGGTCTGGTAGAATGCATATTCACGTGGTTTCGATACATCCAGAAGTCAAACTGATATCTCATGGGTTACAGAGAACCTAAGCCCAAAACAAGCTTGGAAACAAACACAGAAGAAACTCAGCAGGCCCAGTAGCATCTGGAGAGACAGAAAAATACAGTTAATATTTCAAGTCCCAAAAATCTCTTATTTGGAACTGAAGAGAGGTGGAAAAGTGATGCGTTTTCTGTTTTTGCAAAATGGAAATTGGATTAAATAAAGACAAGCTTTGCCTGAAAGCTAAACCAAGACAGACAAGATATCGACACTGTGGGTTGGGTGGTGGTGGTGGTGATGGCAGCATCGGCAGGGGGAATCAATATGGAGGACAATCTTCATGTTCTGAAGTTGTTGAACTCAATGTTGAGTCATGAAAGTTATACTGTGCCTAAATAGAAATGAGATGCTGTTCCTTCAGCTTACATTGCAGCAGGTGTGGGGCAGAAAAGTGAGCATGAGAGTAACATGGTTGATTAAAATGGCAAGAGACAAGGAGGTCGTGATCAGGTCTGCAGACATAACGGTGGTATCCTTCAAAGCCATCCCCAAGGCTGTGTTTAGTCTCGCCATAGTAGAAGAGACTGCATTGTGAACAGTGAATACTGTAGACTAAATTGAAAGCGGCACAAATAAAACACAGAAAAGAGGGTTTGTGGCTTTAGACAGTGAGGAGGTAAAATGTGCAAATGTAGCATCTTGTGAGAGTGCATGGAAAAGTGCCATGAAAGGGATTGAGATTGATTGAGTGGACCAGGGTGCCGCATAAAGTATAGGCTCCACAGAAATCTGAGTGTTTAGTGGTATTGTGTTGGAGGAGACAGAAATGGCACAGCAATGATCAAGATCCGATCCCTTTTGATGTTTATCATGGATAATGAGTTATTCCAGGAAAGCTTTAAGCTCCTCTTCCATAAGGGATCTTTTACATCCATAAGATCTTATTTAACATTTCACCTGCAAGTCTGATAGTACAGCAATGAGGGAATTGCACTGGGGATCAGGCACGATTGTGTTCGAGCGTCCAGAATGGGTGTGCTGACAGAGAAGAGACTGGTACTGAACTATAGTGAAGTGCACTGCCCAGACAGCCTCATGTTCTCCAGCCTGAGGAATTCCTGTACCTGGTCGTGAGCAGGATCTTCTTGTTCTGGTCGATCGTGATGTCACTGATGTAGTCGTCATGGTTTTTCATCTCCATAAATGAGGTTCCCTTCCGTAAGTCCCACACTTTCAACAAACCATTGTCATCACCCGTGGCAAAGAGGTTTTCATCAATCAGCTTCAAGCTATTAATGGCAGCACTACAGGGAAAAAGATCAACAGAGGCAGAGTCAAAAATTCAGATAGTGAGGTCTCGGCAGCCACGGCCAATTGGGGGTGGGTGGGTGGGTGGTGGGAGGGAGCAGAGGACACAGGACAGACAAGAGGAGTGAGTTGAGGTTACAGTTTAGTTAAGAAGAGAAAGAGGATTTGAATTCATTCTCCCAGTTCCTAATACAAGGTGACAATAACTTGATGATTAACAACATAAACTTCAGAATTGAAAAAGAGATAGACTAAACAGACTGAGAAACAACCAACTACAAGAGAATGAAATGAAACTCAAGGATAGGATTTGAGGAAAAGCATCATTAGATGTAGACAGGCTTCCTGATCTTATTCTCAATCCCACATTCAACAACCCTCCCTCTGATTCTCATCCTTCACCCACAGCTCACAGGTGACCCAATGCCCCCAAACAATAACACCCCTACAGCAGTTTGCCTTCTCCAGGCTGTTCATCAGCCCCATCACTTACCTGTGAGCTTTTGGAATCTTTGTAACCAATTTGCCTCTTTCAACATCAAGAATGTGAATTGATTTATCTTTGGAAACTGTGAAAAGCTCTGGAAGAGGAAAAATGGTGAATTCTGACAATATTGTAATGCAAGATGCCTCTAGCTGTTTGTACCAACTGACACATTGAGGGATTCCAACGTTCTCAATTTTAATAACAGAAAAATTAATAATGTAAACATTAATTTTGTAAAATAAATAATTTAATATTAATTATACTATCAAGAGATCAGCAAAATTCCAACTTGTAAATTCATTCAGATATTAAACAGCAAAATATTCACATTTCAACATGGGCAGCACTACCGCGGGTGCGAGGGGTTCGGGCAGCGTCAATGAAGGGTGAGAATATCACAGTGCTGCTGGAGGCCTTGCTGATATATGAGTGAAACTTTCAGTCAGCCTAATTGCCCTGTTTTGCTGATGGGAAGTTGTATGTAGAGAGCTCACCTTGCCCATTCTGGGTAAATTCCAGCTGGCGACAGGATTTCAAGTGGTGTCCTGATGACCACAGCTCCTCAGTTCCAGATACTTCACATGAATAGGAGATTCTGCAAATTAAAATTAGCGAAAAGTTCATTTTCCTTCTCATTTTTTTGAGATTTATATCCTCTTGCTCCCACTGACAATTTTCTCACTGCTTCCCCAGACACCACTGATTCATGCTCTGCTTAAACCTCAGTCTTAACCACACAAAAGCGATACCCATCTCTCCCCTCATTGAATTAAAAAAGCAACATGTCAATAAATGAGTAAATAATTTGCTAGTAAAGCTCAATAATTTTAACTAAATGTTGCAAGGTTACAGTGTCTTTCTGAAATAAATCCATTTCAGTATGCTTTCTGTCAAAAGAAATCCACAGACAAATCTAAGCAATTTATAATTAAGTAATAGCATGTATTCAGTAACCTCTTAAAACTTTTTAGCAATCACTTGAGAGTTAGGTTTGGAAGTGTACTGATTGCAGTTTGCAGCAATTTTTCAATTACATAAACAGTACAATACGTACTTTCAGGCAGGAATTTAAAGGCCTGAACTAGCCATAAAACAGGAAAAGTGATCAGAAGCATTACGGATGCAATAAACACCAGAGATTGGTCAAGAGAGGAGGTGAACAGGCAAAACTAACAGGGGAAAGTCGTGTCTGATGGTCTAAGAAGGGTGAGGACCTTTCAGGCTCCATTCAGCTTGCCTTTCTCCTAGTGACTCTATGCTATCTTCTCCAGTGCTCTCCCCAACACACCCCACCTTCACCACTCCCTTTCTCAGTGTACCCGATCTAAGTTTTAAAAATATGGAAATATAAAGCTGGGTTTGAAATTGATGATCACAAAGCTGGTTAATCCTAAAATCAAAGCTTCACCAATATTCTTTAGGAAAAGAAACCTCTTTACCTTTCTTCTCTCTCTACACAACTGTTGCATATCATTTCAGTGTTATTGGTTCTTATCATTTTCTGAATTACTTCAGATATTCGGAGGCTTAAGCTGCTAGATAAAAATGGTGGAAGATAATGGACGCTTGCACATTCTCAGGGAATCTGGGGCTGGGCAACAAATATCAACTTTACCAGCATCGGCCTCAAAAAATGAATTTAAAAAATATGTTTTAAAAAGAATGACAGTCCGAATTGGTGACCAGCCTCATAATGAGCTCCTTAGTGACCCCGGAATGTGCAGCAATTGGGCTCTTACTGACGCAAGGAGAAATTACATTGCAACTACGGTGTTGAGCAACATCATCAGCATGTCAATTCAGTTCCTCAGAGACTGCCTTGCACCAGTTAGCGTCACAGAGTTGAAAAGCACAGAAACAGACCATTTGGTCCAAATTACCCATTTGGTCCAACGTACCCATGCTGACCAGATATCCTAAATTAATCTAGTCCCATTTGCCAGCATTTGGTCCATATCCCTCTAAGCCCTTCCTATTCACGTACCTATCCAGATGTCTCTTAAATGTTTTAATTGTACCAGCCTCCACCACCTCCTCTGGCAGCTCATTCCATACACCCACCACCGTCTGCCTGAAAAAGTTGCCCCTTAGGTCCCTTTTAAATCTTTCCCCTCTCACCTTAAACTTATGCCTTTTAGTTTTGGACTCCACTACCCCGGGAAAAAGACCTTGACTATTCACCCTATCCATGCCCCCAAAGGTCATCCCTCAGACTCCTGCGCTCCAGGGAAAATAACACCAGCCTATACAGCCTCTCCCTAAAGCTTAAACCCTCCAACCCTGGTAACATCCTTGTAAATCATTTCTGAACGTTTGCAAGTTTCACAACAAACTTCCTATAGCAGGGAGACCAAACTCTGTATCTTTTGGCTACAATTAACATGTGAACATAAAAACAAGGAGCGGGAGTAGGCCATTTGGCGCCTCAAACTATCCTTCCATTTAATAAGATCATGGTTGATCTGATTACTCCATATGCTCACCCATCCCTTACAATCTTTCACAACTTGCTTATCAAGAATATCTCTAATACTGCTTTAAAAATATTCAAAAATTCTGCTTCCATCATCTTTTCAGGAACAGAGTTCCAAAGATTCCCAACCCTCAGAAAATTTCTCATCTCTACTTTAATGGGTGACCCCTTATTCTTAAACCGTGACCCCAGTTCAGGATTTTTCCACAAAAGGAACCATTCTCTTCATATCCACCCTGCTGACCCAAGACCACTCCCTGCAGGATCTTTTCAATCAAGTAGTCTCTTACTCTTCTAAATTCCAGTGGATATAAGCCTAGCATGTCCAACTTGTCCGCACAAGAGAAAACACCATTCCAGGTATTAGTCTAGGAAACCTTTTTTGAACTGCTTTTAACGTATTCACATCCTTCCTTAAATAATAACAAATCCCATACATCTTCTCTAGATGTGTATTCACCACCAGTGTCCTATATAACTACAGCATAACCTTTCTTTTCCACTCAATTCCAACATGTGATAAATAACAGTTTTCCTAATTACATGCTGTACCTGCATACTAACCTTTTGTGATTCATGCACTAGGACACCCATATCCTCTGCACTTCAGACCTTCAGATTTTCCACCATTTCAACAGTTTGCTACTTTTTTATTCTTTCTGCCAAAGAAGGCAATTTCACAGGTCCCCACAATATAACCAACTGCCAGATCTTCGTCCACTCACTGAACCTTTCTATATCCTTTGTAGGCTCTTTTGTCCTCTTCACAACTTACTTTCCCACCTATCTTTGTGTCACCAGAAAATTTAGTAACTATACCTTCAGTCCCTTCATCCAAGTAATTTATATAAATTGTGAACAGTATCTTTGAATCTCTGGCATCATGATCAGGACAGCCTATTCATTTAGGCCTGTCCAAGGCAAAAACAGAACTAATCTGATGATAGTATCATAAGCCTACAGTGAAATACATACACATATACATCTCCATCCACATCCCCAGCTGCGATGACATCCCGCGCTGGGTGAAAAGCTATTGAATTTACAATAGCATCAAAGGTGATATCTTCTGGGGTCTCTCTTACCCTGGGTTCCTTCACCTTCTCCTCATCTTCAGAATAATCCTATCGGAAACAAAAGGTTAGATCCAACAGCGTGGTGAGCCACAGCAAATCACAGGGCTTCATACAATCCTAAACTTAAAACCGAGAGTAATTTACAAGCAGTGAGTTAATTGTTTCCTGTAAAGGCTGTAGATAATCAGAGACACCAGGAAGTAGAATCACTACAGAGCTATTCTATTAGCTGGGGTTTAGCCAATCCAGGCAAGGAAGAGGAACTCCCCTCTATTACTCTGCCAGTTGGAAGGATCCTTGCTGTTCAGCCACTTCCTGGGGGGGGGGGGGGGGGGGATGCATAAATATACCCAAAATTTGCTCTCCAAATAACTTGTGCTTTATTCTAAATATAATCCTAGCTGTATCTGGTTTGTCTTGTTTAATGGTCAATGTGAAGGGTCCTGAGATGTAGCTGTTTGATTTTTACTCTGCATCTTAAACCATCCTGGATCTGAGCCAAGAGTTATTTGAACAATAAAAATGGAACAATTGCCATAATTGACATAATGGAGCTTGATAAACTGAAGCAACACCCTCAAATTTCAGCTATAGGTTTCATCTCTCCCAGCCAAAAAGTCATGGATTCAAGCCCCACTCCAGCTGTCTTTAACACATTATCCAGGTTGACACTCCCAAGAGGTATGGAAGGAAGAATCAAGAATCCAAGATCTCACTTAGGACAGTATAGGAAATATCTAGTACTTGATGGATGGAAAAAAAGGGGCTACCATATAAAAGTAACTGGAAGAGCTTTAGCACAGAGCAGGGAAATATCTGAGGTTATGGAATTAATTCCAAGGTTAGTGACTGAGGAAGAACTTACATTCATATCAAAGATTACATTGGACAGATGGACAAAGGAGACAAAGATGACATGATAGAACATTGTCAGCAAGAGAGCTCGGAGTGAGATGAGGAGAAACTTCTTTATTTGGAATGCACTGCCTGAGAGTGTGATGGAGGCAGATTCCGTACAACGTTTCAAAAGATAGCTGGATGTACATTTGAAAGTATGAATTCAGAGGACTACAGTGATAGGGCTGGAGAATGGGACTAGCTGGGTGGCTCTCTTTCAGGAGCTGCTACTGACATGATGGGTTGAACGGCCTCCTCCTGTACTGTGAAGCTGTATGATTTTATGATAAAGGAATGAGTCAGACAGACGTTAGGAATATTTGGCCACTTGGAAGCTGCACACTGCCATAGACCTGTTGGGCCTGTTTGTGGTACATTCTGCCTGGGTGAATTCCTCCAATATCCTGGCAAACATTCTCTTTTGACCATTACCATCCAAAACAATGCGCTGGTTCTGCATTCACCTCCTAATTATGGGCCTGTGCTGTAAGTAAAGTAGTAACCAAAAGGATTACACTAGGACAATAAGCCATGAGTTTAAAGCAATGTGAAAGGTTAAACCATAGCAAGTATACAGTCTGGATGCATAATGGCCTGGTACCGCAACCACTCTGCCCAGGACTGTAAGAAATGACAGAAGGTTGTGTGCACAGCACAGACCATCATGGAAGCCAACCTCCCATCCATGGTCTCCATTTACACTTCTTGCTGCTGCAGTAAGGCTGCCAACATCATCAAAGACACCTCCCACCCCAGTAATGCTTTCCTACAACCTCTTCCATCAGGCAGAAGCTTGAACACATGCGCCATCGCCTTCAAGAACAGCTTCTTCCTGGCCATTATTAGACTGATGAATGGACTCTCTAACTTTAAATAATGCTGATCTCGTTAATGTCGATCTTGCTTTGCTGTGTAACCAGCATGCCTTACTCTGTCCAAGTTTTTTTTTTCCACCCGATGGTCTGTATATCCTTGCTCATTATGATCTGCTAGCACTGCTTACAAACAAAGCTTTTCACTGTGGTTAGGTGAATGTGACAATAAGTCATATCAAACAAAACTGGCATTTACATAGCACCTTTTACAACCTCAAGAAATCCAAAGAGTTTCTAAGGCAATGAAATACTGTTGAAACGTACTCACTGTCAATGATGTAGGACAACAATGTAACCAATTTGCAAACAATATTTTGCATTAAAATGGTTGGTGAATATTGTGAATTACTGTTGGCCAGAACGCAATGCAAAGACCTCTCCTGCTGTTCCTCAGAGTTGTACCACATCTACTTTTATGGCCATCTGACAGAGATACAGCAAAGGGAACCTCCCACAGTCCGGTGTGCCCTCAGCACTGACCCTTCAACAGGGCGGCACTCCAACAGCACTGACCCTCTGACAGAGCGACATGCTGTCAGTACTGACTCTCTGACAGCACAGCTTTCCCCCTCAGTAACAACCATTTGACCATTGTGAATCTCCCTCTGCTGAATCAGAGTATTACTTAAATGGTGATCTACCGGGAAATGTGAATATAAAAAGGGATCTGGGTGTGTTTGTACACCAGTCAATGAAAGTACACAGAGGTGCAGGACTGGATGAACACAGCAGGCCAAGCAGCATCATAGGAGCAGAAAGGCTGACGTTTCCGGCCT